TCCACCAACCAAGCCTGTGGTTCAATGCAACCTCCTGGAGACGCGGTGTTGCTCAGGCCTTCCTGTGCCTGGGGATCCCTGGGCCACCACGCAGTGCTCAGGGCCTCCAGGGATGCACCCCTCAGTGCTTAGGTGGTGTGAGAATCAAACCTGGATCAGGGGGATAGGGTGCTGTCCCTCCGCTCCACCTGCTCCCCCTTGGTGGCTCGGTGGCCGCCATCCGCCAGAGGCCATTGGACAGTCAGGTTTGGGCCCACAGTGACGAGACACACGGGGCCTCACAGGATGGGGTGGAGACAGCCCTTTCCTCCCCACCTCAATTAGACCCCGAGTTGCCGCCCACAAACGGCCTCTCTGGCTCCTGACCAAGCTGCTTAACAGCCATGATCCCAGAGACTCAGGAACAAATCTCGGAACCCAGCAGGTTTTGGCAGAAATCCCTCCAGATTTAAGTGTAAAAATTTTGGAATTTCAAAATTGCGTGGCCACTACTGCAGTCATGCGACATCATATGTTATTCTTAACCAGCAATAGAAAACAAATTGTCTACTGTTGCCTTTTCAGCAGATCTGAGTGTTGGGGTAAAATTCCAAATAATAATGGTGGGTCTGGTGTCAAAACACTGAATGTGATCAAAGTAGAGAGAGAGTAATGTGGAAATCATCTGCCCCACAGGTAGGGGGAGGGTGTGGGATGGGGCTATGCTGGGGTTTTTGGTGGTGGAGAATGGGCACTGGTGAAGGGACGGGTGTTTCATTGTATGACCCAGACTTAAACCCAAAAGCTTTATAACTGCTCTCATGGTGATTCAATAAACAAAATGATAAAAAAAAAAAAGTAAGGTGGAGTTCACGCTCAATTCAATCAGCTAATCAGTGGCTGAATAAATAGCTGTACTCCTACATTAAAAAAAAAAAAATCAAACCTGGATGGGGCACAGGCCTGTACTATCTTCCGGCCTCCAAGCTACTTTTTTTTTTGGCGGGGGGGTGGTGCTATTGGACCACACCCAGTGGTGCTCAGGGGTTACTCATGAATTAGTCCTGGTGGTGCTTGGGGGACCATATGGGATGTTGGGGATCAAACCCGGGTTGGACTTGTGCAAAACAAATGCCCTACCCATGGTACTATCCTTCCGGCAGTTCTTCTATTTTTAACACCATGAATGAAATGGAAAACCATGAGCCACAAGGGGACAGGAAGGGAGTGTGGGTTAGACATGAAGTCCAGCACGGAACATGGGGACATTTAGAGAACAGGAAGAGGAAGCAGCTAGGGAGATAAGGAATGGCCGGGGAAATCAGAAGGAAATGGGGAGTGTCTGGTACTTCGGGAGCCAGGCAAGTTTCACGGGAGAGGGAGTGAGGTCGCCTTTGCTGACAATCTCTGTGAAGCTTCTCCATGGACCAGACTGTGACCTTGACCCAGTCCCCATGAGTCTCTGCCCAACAGCTAAGGTGCCCCTCAGCTCCTGCCGCTCCAGTTAGATTCTCCAAAGGACAGCGGAGTAGGGACCGGAGTGGGAAGGAGGGTTGGAGACAGTCCGGGGATAAGGCACTTGCCTTGCATCTGGCTGGCCGTGGCTCATCCTCCAGCACCACACGGTTTCCTGAGCATCACCAGAAAGAATCCCTAAGCATTTTCCAGGTGTGAGCCCCAAACCAAAAACAAATATAGTTTTTAAAAAATAATAAAATTGTAATTATATGGAAAAAGAGGAAAATTCCTCCTACCCCTCTGGGTTCTTTTTGGGCTGACTGGGAAATCCACATCGAACAAATTAGGGCGGGAGAAATAATGCAGTGGGGAAGCCTTTGTATGAAACTGCCCTGGATTGATTCCAGGCACCCTACATTGATTCCAGGTCCCTCAAGCCCTGAGCCAGGAGCAAGCCCTAGCACTGTTGCACGCTGCCTCCAAACAAAATATCAAGGGCTGGAAGGTACAATGGTCAGAGCGTTTGCCTTATACATGGCATTCTGGGTTTGATTCCAGGCACCCCATATAGTCCCTGGATCCTTGCCAGGGAGTGATTCCTGGGTACTTCGGTGTGACTCAAGCCCCTCCCCCCAAACAAATCACTAGAAAATAATTACATATGTAAGGATAACATATGTGTGAAGTCAATGAGGGCAAATGAGGGTATATACATATACATATATATATACGCATATATATATATATTTTCTGAGCAAAGAGATCCGAGTAGAAGTCATGGATAATCTTCTCCATTGCCCTACTGGAAGATGTGATAGATCCATCAGGACTTCAGAGGACAATCATCTTGGTCTTGTAGTTGGCAAAGACAGGCGGGCGTTGCAAATGCTTTTCCCAGCTTCTGCCGCATCTGCCAGCACTGCCGCATCTCTCTTTGGGGTCTTCCTTTATCGCTTCCTGCACTGCTTTGTGAGCTCGGACAATCGCTTGCAGTTGCCTGAGGCTTGTGCCAAGCCATGTTGGTGAATAAGCTCAAGAGTTCTGAAAGACAGGTGTCTTTTTGTGGCTATAAAAAGTCATGTCCACCTGCCCACATACCAAATTCCGCAGGATGAATATGTCATTCCCAACATTCTCCCTTCCAAAATTTGACATACCATTTCGTGAGTAAAGATGCGAATAGCACCAGGCCCAGACAAGGTCAGACCTGAACACCTGAAGAATCTGCCATCGGTACTCATCAATACACTGGCTCAGCTTTTCACATGCTACCTGTCTGAATGTAAGCTTTGCTGATGACATTGTTCTAATAGCACCAAACATTAGCCAAGCGGCACAAATGCTGGCTGACTTCAACTGTGAGTGTGGAAAGGTCGGATACAGCTGAATCTCACAAAGACAGTGTTTATGAGAAACAGTTTCATTCCTGACATTCCATTCGCTTTCAACTGAAGGAACATCTCCGAATGCAACAGTTATGTGTACCTAGGTCATGTGTACCTAGGCCGAGAAGTCAACATGACGAATGACCTGGCACCTGAGTTGTGCAGGAGGAAGAGAGTGGCTTGGAACGCCTTCAAGAGTGTCGAAGAAATAGCTAAGAGGACGAAGAACCTCCGGCTCTGGGCACATCTCTTTGATTCCACTGTTCTTCCTGCATTAACATACGCCTCAGAGACCTGGGCCCTACAAAAACAGGATGAGAATGCTATTCGGGTCTCCCAAAGAGGAATCGAAAGAGCTATGCTTGGAGTAACACACTTCACTCAAATGAGAGAAAGAATCCAGAGTTCTGACTCCGTCGACAGTCAAGAATCAGGGATGCTGTCTCGTTTGCCAAGGCATCGAAAATCAGATGGGCTGGACACATAATGAGATTTGGAGACAACCGCTGGACTACAGCCGTTACTGACTGGATTCCACCGACCGTCAAAAGATCGCATGGCCGCCCACCTACGAGATGGTCAGACTTCTTTGTCGAGACCCTGAATGATCGGTTTGAGGCTCTTCGTGTTCCTAGAGCGAGCAGATGCCATTGGGCTACACTAGCACGCGACAGGGACAAATGGAGACATTACTGGTGCCCACTCGAGCAAATCCATGAGTAATGGGATGTCAAGTGATCAAGCGATATCCTGAGTGAAGTATGAAACTAGTTAACGCCCACCATTCATATGTATCACTGTCACTGTCCTCCTGTTGTTCATCGATTTGCTCGAGCGGGCCCAGTACCGTCTCCATTGGAGACTTTGCTGTTACTGTGTTTGGCATATCAAATACGTCACAGGTAGCTTGCCAGACTCTGCCGAGAGGGTTGGAGGAATCGAACTCGGGTTGGCCATATTGGCTGCGTGCATGGGCTGGAGCAATAGCACAGCGGTAGGGCGTTTGCCTTGCACGCAGCCAATATGGCCGACCTGAGTTTGATTCATATGTATATCTATACAAATATGTGTGTGTGTGTATATATATATATACATATATATGTAGAGAGAGCTTCAGAAAGAGGAGAGGGCGGCTGTCGGGAGAGAAGTGGGTGACTATCTGGTGTGTGCTCTCCTGAGTATCTCAGGGTGGCCTCATTCACTTACCTATTGCCTTTACCTTGCTAGTTTTGGAGGGCTCCTTAACACTTATCACTCTCTAACGGATCAGACAAGTACTTTTTGTGTATTAGCTATGCCCTTCCTTTTGTGCCAGCCTCTAAGGCTTTAGTTAGTTGAGGGCAGGTGATGTATTCCATTCACTGCAGGGCCCAGCATCTTACTGAATGTACCGGGAACTCTTTTTTGAGGGGTGCACACCCGGCGTTGCTCAAGGCTTACTCCTGGTTCTGTGTTCAGGAGTCACCTCCTGGCTGTGCTCAGGGAACCACATGGGATGCTGGGGATCGAACCCGGGTCCTTCGCATGCAAGGCATGCACTTTACCATCTCCACTCTTTCTGGATCTGGAGTCGGTCTTTCGAGATGGGTTGGGAGAGTAAGGCGGATACTTACAAGGCGTCGATTCGGGTTCGAGCCCCGGCACCCCATATGAGTGATCCCTGAATGCAGAGCCAGCAGTACGCCCTAAGCACAGCGGGATGTGGCATAGAACTAGAAAGTAAAGAAACAGAAGCCAACACCGAGGGCCGTGCCTCGCTAAGCACCGCGGCCCCGCCCACCCCCGCCGCCCAGCTCAGCCGAGCATGCGCAGTTCGCGCCGGCCACGCCTCCCGCCGCGCCGGGCGCGCGGGCGCCGCCCTTCAAGCGCAAACACTATTCCCACGTGAGCGGCGCCGCAGCATGTGACCGGCGTCGCGCCGGTGGACGTCACGTGACGGACTCTGTCTTCCTCCAATCGTTGTGCACATCGCGGGGGCTTCCACTCGGGAGCCGGCCCGGGGCTTCGACGCCCCGTATCCGCCCGCCGGCCAAACGGGCTGACTCCCCGCCCGCGACCCGCCGGCGGAGTCTCGCGAGGGCCCCCTCCGACCACGGCTAAGGCCGGCTCGGGGCCTAGGCGCCCTCCCGGAAGTGACGCCTCCCAGAGGGGCCGGAAGTGGCAGTGGAGGGAGGGAAGATGGCGGAGGTGGTGAGTCCGGTGCCCGGGGCGGGGCGGAGGGAGCCAGGGGAGGTGGGTAGAGCCCGAGGCCCCCCAGTAGCCGACCCTGGCGCCGCGCTGTCTCCCCAGGGGGAGATAATCGAGGGCTGCCGCTTGCCAGTGCTGCGGCGGAACCAGGACAACGAAGATGAGTGGCGTGAGTGACGTCGGGGGGCGGGGCCAAGGAACCTAAGGGCGCGGGCCGGGCGGGCGCCGAGGAACCCCCCCGAGACGGGGCGGGGCCTCCGGCTTCCCGGGGCGGGCGGGGCGCAGGTCTCCGGAGGGGCGTGGCCTCCCGCCGCTCCGCGCTGGACAGGGCGGGGCTTGGAGAGGGGGCGGCACTCGGGGGCTAGAGCCGGCGCTTCCCGGGGCTGGGGTTCAGGCCTGGGGTGGGGTCCGGGTCGTCGGGAGGTGGCGCCGCCGGGCTGCGCCTTTCTTAGGCCTTTGCCTGTGCTGCTCCCTCAGCCCTGGCCGAGATCCTGAGCGTGAAGGACATCAGTGGCCGGAAGCTTTTCTACGTGCATTACATTGACTGTGAGTTCTGCACCGGGAGAGGTGGGGCGGCAGGGCAGGGCTGGGGGCCGCCTCTGGCATCCCTTCCTGAGCCACCCCCACCGCTGCAGTCAACAAACGCCTGGATGAATGGGTGACCCACGAGCGGCTGGACCTAAAGAAGATCCAGTTCCCCAAGAAAGAGGCCAAGACTCCCACCAAGAACGGACTCCCAGGGTCCCGGCCCGGCTCGCCAGAGAGAGAGGTGGTGAGTAGGTCCCCTGATTCGCCTCCTCTCTTCTGCCTCCTCCTTCTCTCATCTCTTGGCCTCAGGGGCTCCCGGCTGGGCAGGAGGCCGCGCCCCGTTCCCCCCCTGGCATCCGCTTGCAAAAAAGGGGGCCACAGTGCAGTTGTAGCGGCCAGGGCCCAGTGGTCTAATGCCCGTGTCCTTGAAAGGGCAGAGGGTGGGGTGTGATCACTCCACACCGGGGGGCTCCTGCACCCCTTCCCCATCCCGCCACCGCCCCCGCCCCAGAGGAAGATCCTGGACCTGTCTCCACAGCCGGCCTCCGCCCAGGCCAGCGGGAAGACTTTGCCAATCCCGGTCCAGATCACACTCCGCTTCAACCTGCCCAAGGAGCGGGAGGTCATTCCCGGTGGCGAGCCCGACCAGCCGCTCTCCTCCAGCTCCTGCCTGCAGCCCAACCACCGCTCCACGGTACCCTCAGCCATTCCAGGGACCTCGCTTTCCTCTCAGGTCCCGCCTTCTCTACCTTCTGACCCACCTTTCTTGGTTTCTCTCTGCAGAAACGGAAGGTGGAGGTGGTTTCACCGGCGACCCCAGTGCCCAGCGAGACAGCCCCGGCCTCGGTGTTTCCCCAGGTGAGCGCCCGAACCTTCTCTTGTCTCCCCTTGCGCCTGCCCTGGGTGGCCCGCTGCGGGCTGGTCTCACGGCTGCCTTCTCTCTGTCTCTCCTGCAGAATGGCTCTGCCCGGAGGGCAGTGGCTGCCCAGCCGGGCCGAAAAAGAAAATCGAATTGCTTGGGCACTGATGAGGTGGGTCTGGGGAAGCTGGGCTGGCGCGCTCAGCTTTGGGGAGGAAGGGGAGGGTCGGGGGCAGAAGCCAGGCAGAGTTGGCAGTTGGGTGCTGGAGGGGAACACACTGGGCCCATCGCCCTGTCTGCACAGTGGGGTGCAGCGTTTCCCCATAGGGACTGTGGGGCTGCAAAGGGGGAGTCTGAGGCGGGGTCCGCCCCCAGACTCCCCCATAACACAGCCGTGCTCTGCTCTGGGCAGGACTCCCAGGACAGCTCGGATGGCATCCCGTCGGCCCCGCGCATGACCGGCAGCTTGGTGTCCGACCGGAGCCACGACGACATCGTCACGCGGATGAAGAACATCGAGTGCATCGAGCTGGGCCGGCACCGCCTCAAGCCCTGGTACTTCTCCCCGTACCCGCAGGAGCTCACCACGCTGCCCGTGCTCTACCTCTGCGAGTTCTGCCTCAAGTACGGCCGAAGCCTCAAGTGTCTGCAGCGGCACTTGGTACGTGGGGTCCCTGGGGCCCCCGCCCTCCCTGCCCCGCCCCTGCCTGCCCCGACCGGCTCTCTTCTTCCAGACCAAGTGTGACCTGCGGCACCCACCCGGCAACGAGATCTACCGCAAGGGCACCATCTCCTTCTTCGAGATAGACGGCCGCAAGAACAAGGTCATTGGCGCGGCCGCGGATGTCTAGGGACGGACCCCAGAGCCAACGCACCTTTAGCCCTGTCTATTGGCTCCCTCGACTGGGCAGGTGCTGGAGGTAGAGGCGAGAGTTGGTAGACAGCCCCCAGATCCTAGCATGGCGGCAGGGAGAACAGGTGGGTAAGGGGACCCACAGGGGTCTAGCCAGTGAAAGTCTCGAGGGCAGGACTGGCACCAGGACTCGTGCTCTGGAGTGGCACCGTGGGCACCACCACCTTCGTGGCTGCCAGGGCAGCGGGAGACACTTGAGAACAGGATTCCCATCTCCAGCCTGCAGAAGCAGGCAGGCTCAGAGCACTCAGGCATGGGGCCAGAGACAGAGCAGAGTGAGGCAGGCCTTTGCCTTACACGCAGCCAGCCTGGGTTTGATCCCCGGCATCTCATATGGTCCCCCGAGCACCACCAGGAGTCGGCCCTGAGCATCGCAGGGTGTGACCCAAAAGCAGAAGAAAACTGATGGGATAAAGTAGTTCAGGGACCCGGGGGGGGGCATCCCGAGGGCAGGGCCCTGCAGGGGCAGAGGAGGAAGCAACAGGAAAAACCTCTAAGGGTTGTTCCTGTTGAACCCGAGCTTCTGACCACTCTGGTAGATGAGCAGATCCGTTTCTGGAGGGGTGACAGTGGGCAGAGCCCCGACACAGGGGACCTGTGGAGGCCGCCAGGTCTGGGTGGGGATACAGGGGGGAGCCAGGCCACGGAGGGAGGGGCCGGGGTACGGCCCCGGCCAGCCACAGGGGACATGCAGAAATAGGGTGTCCAGGGCCGGGTGTGACAGGCCTGTCCCTGCAGAGCTACTCCCAGAACCTGTGCCTCCTGGCCAAGTGCTTCCTCGACCACAAGACGCTTTACTACGACACAGACCCCTTCCTCTTCTACGTCATGACCGAGTACGACTGCAAGGGCTTCCACATCGTGGGCTACTTCTCCAAGGTGGGTGCTCTCGGGTGCCACGGCCTGACCCAGCCCGCCTCACCCGCCCACCTCTCCTGCGCTCACGCCACCCTTCTCTTCCTCCAGGAGAAGGAGTCCACGGAAGACTACAACGTGGCGTGTATCCTGACACTGCCCCCCTACCAGCGCCGAGGCTACGGCAAGCTGCTGATCGAGTTCAGTGAGTGCCGCGCCAGGGCTCCTCCCCTCCCTCCTCCCACTTGCCCCTGTGCCCTGGTAGACGGGTCACCTCGGGTTGGTGGCCTTGTCCCCTGCTCCATGCCAGCGGGCAGGGCAGTCTGCTCAAGCGGCTGTCCTGCATCCGTGGCCCCTCTGTACTTCCCAGTCTTTTGGCAGGGGGCACGCCTGTGGGGGCTTGGGGTGTGGGCCAGGGCCTGATACATTCAAAGCAAGACCTCCCCCTTGGGCACATTCTGGCTCCTGCATCCTGCCGCTCCATCCCAGTCCTCTCAGCAGGCCCTTGGGAGAATGAGGGGCACCTAGCTGTAGGGTGGAGACGCATAGGTTGGGCCCTCCAGGAACTTGACTGTAGGGGGCAGAGCCATTGTGTAGTGGCGAGGGCACTTGCCTTACGTGCAGCTGATTCAGGCTTGATCCCTGGCATCCCGTGTGGTCCCTGAGCCTGCCAGGAGCCTGAGTGCAGAGCCCAGAGTACCCTGAGCATCGCAGGGTGTAGCCCTCTCCAGAAAGAAGAAAAAGACAAGATAGTGATTGTAGAATGATGCCACATGCTCAGGACAGATACTTTTGGAAACCCAGCAAAGCCTGATCCTGAGATTTCCCTGGAGAAGGGGTGCAAGCAGGCCCCCCCGGGAAGTCTCCACAGTGGAGCTGCTAGGGCTGATCACACAGATGGCCCAGTCCTGCCGAGTTGCCAGGGGCCAGCTCAGAGTCACAGTGTGGTGGGCTGGAAGGGCACGGGAAGGGCAGGGAGGTGCACCCTGGTCTGCCTGGAGGCCCTGTCACACATGTCCCGGGCATGACGGCGGCGAGGAAGGGTCCTGACGGAGAAGGGAGACTGCCCCAGAGATAGGGGTACCCCGGGTGTCGCAGGGCCTCTCCAGCCGGAGGCAGCACTCTGTGCTCCTCACTGCCCAGCCAGACCAGCCTTCCCCAGCTGTGGATCCCTGGGTCATTCCAGGCCTGAACCAGAAGTAGAGTCCCCCATTCCACCCTCACATACCAGAGGGTGATTTTCCCTGGAGCCAGTCCCTCGCCCTAGCTGCCTCCACGCCCTGGGACCACTGGCAGGCACAGCGCAGACAGGACATGTCATTAAGGTCCCCGAAGTGCCGCTGGCCTGCTTCCATCCCAAGTACCACGGCCCAACCCATCCCCAAAGTAAAGCTGTCAGCACGCACCTGGTCACTCACCCACCACTTGCTCCTTTGCTTCAGGCTATGAACTTTCCAAGGTGGAAGGGAAAACGGGGACCCCTGAGAAGCCCCTCTCGGACCTCGGCCTGCTCTCCTACCGCAGCTACTGGTCCCAGACCATCCTGGAGATCCTGATGGGGCTGAAGTCGGAGAGCGGGGAGAGGCCTCAGATCACCATCAAGTGAGCGTGGCCGCGGTCCCGGGGTGCATGCCAAGCAGGGCCAGATGTCCGAGGTGCCCCTTTTGGGGGCCTGGGGCAGTCAGGGCCCCCAGGACCTGACCTTTGCTCCCCCACAGCGAAATCAGCGAGATCACCAGCATCAAGAAGGAAGATGTGATCTCCACGCTGCAGTACCTCAACCTCATCAACTACTACAAGGGCCAGTACATCCTCACGCTGTCCGAGGACATCGTGGACGGGCACGAGCGGGCCATGCTCAAGCGGCTCCTTCGCATCGACTCCAAATGTCTACACTTCACGCCCAAGGACTGGAGCAAGAGGGGGAAGTGGTGACCAGGGCCGAGCCACGGCAGAACCCGGGCTGAGAGCCCCCCAGCCGTCCCTACGGGAGCCCGAAGAGGCACGCCGGGAGCCGGGGCTGAGGACAAGGGCCCCGCGGAGAGGACAGGCCCGGGAGGGGCTGGCTGGTGTCCAGCACCCGATGGAGCTCTAGGCTCCGGTCGGCACCAGGACGGCGGGCGGCAGGCCCCGGCCTGCAGGAGGCGGACTGGGGCAGGGCAGCTGTGCAGTGAGGGGCGGGCACTCTGCAGAGAGTCGTGCTGTAAAATAACTTTTGTAAAACTTGGGGTGGGGTGGGGTGGGCACCGGGGTGAAGTCTGGCCTCTCTTACCCCCACCTCCCCTGCAATAAACTACTGGCCAGAGAGAGCCACGTGAAGTTCCCGTGGGCAAAGGGGCAGTGTCGTCCTCGGGGTCCCGGGGCCTGTCAGCTCGCAGGTGGCTGTGGAGCGCTCGTTTATTGGGTGGCGGAATCGGGGGCTCCAAGGAGAAGAGCTGCTGGACTGGGGCGACGCGCTGGCTGCTCAGTCGTCAGACACCGGCGCGTGGATCTGCAGCAGGAGACCCGTTAGCGGCGGGGCCGGGGGCACACGCGCGGTGGGGGGGCAGGATCCCGACGAATCAGGGCAAACCCTGGGGCCAGACGGGGCGGCCCGGTCACCCACTCACCGCGGCGGCGAGGCTGGGCCAGCTCAGGGCTCCACGCACCCTGGCATCGGGCCCGGGAACGGTCTCCAGGCCCCACAGGGTGAAGCTGCTGAAACTAGCCGTGGCTCCCATGAAACGGTCCTGGGGGAGGGGCCGGGTTCAGCCTCGGGCGTCCCCCCTCCCCCCCTCCGCCGTCGGCCCGACCCCCGCGGCCAACCCCCGCCCTTGCTCACGAAGTTGCGCTCCAGCTCCTGCTCCTCTCCGAGCTCTCCCCCCGGGTTCGGCGAGAAGTCCGGCTCCCCCAGCACCTCTCCCTTGTCTTCCATCTCCATCACGTAGCCCACGAGGCCGGGCGGCACCGCCACCTCCTCGCCCCGCAGGCTGCGGCCCCGAAACGACACCCGGAGCCCTGTCGGGGCAGAGCCGGGCTTCAGTGGGCAGCGGGGCAGCGGTGCAGCGGGGCAGCAGCCCGGCAGCCGCCCGCCCGCCGCCTTCGCACGGACCACAGTCCCCAGAAGCCCTCGCGGCGACGCCCGCCCGAGACAGCGCGGCGCGGCCGCGGGGGCTGCCGGGAGTTGTAGTCCGGCCGCGCGCGCTCACCGTCCGGACCCCGGCGGATGGCCGGGGTGAAGAAGCGCCCCACCGGGGCGGGCCGGTTCACCGGGACCTCGCAGGGCAGAAGGTGCAGCGTGGCAGGGGCGGCCTCGCGCAGCGTGTCGGGACGCAGGTGGACGCGGTGCTTCTCCACGGACTTGTCGTCGCCGCTCTCCATCTTCTGCCGCCGTCGCCGTTTGCGGTCCGAGGCCAAAGCTGGCGCGGAAAACGCGCGGGGCCTGTCGGGAGGCCGGGCTGCGGCGCAGAGGCTTCTGGGAAGTGTAGTCCCTGCCGGAGGCCTCTGCTAGGCGGCGTCTCCCTGTTAGATTCCCTGAAATTGGACGAGTACAGACTATTTCGCCCCGCCCTCCACCCCCTCCACTCTTGGAGGTGCCGGAAACTGAACCCAGGGGCTCACACACGCAAGGCGAGTGCTTTGCCCCGAAACCGCACCCGTGGCCAACAGCCCTTTAAAGTGTGAACAGGGGCTGGAGAGATAGCACAGCGGGTAGGGTGTTTGCCTTGCACGCAGCCCATCCAGGTTCGATTCCCAGCATCCCATATGGTCCCCTGAGCACCGCCAGGACTAACTCCTAAATGCAGAGACAGGAGTGACCCCTGTGCATTGCCAGGTGTGAACCAAAAAAGCAAACTAAATAAAGTGTGAACAAATTAAAGCGGTTCTGAAAATGGCTTTTTATATCGATGGTGGTTTCTAATTTTTAGCTTACTGAGGAAAACACCCCTTCCTCAACATTTTATCTAAATTTCGTGATTTGTCTCCCACACGGGTTGATGGGCAATCCCCACTTTCTCTGTCGTGATGTTGGGGGGTCACACAGCTTGGTTGTACCGTGGTGCTTGCCGGGGTGCAGACCCTTTTGTGGTGGTGCTCACACACCCCCTTGTCACTGGGCCCGTGGTGGGGGCCCTGGGATTGAACTCTGAGGCCCCTGTGGATGGAGTTTTATAAGTCTGGGTTGATTTAGGTTTTGGTTTTGAGGTCACACCTGGTGACTGGAGGGCTGCTCCCAGCTCAGTGCTCTGCCGGTACTGGGGAGCAAATCTGGGATTCTTGCATGCACAAGCATGTGCTTCAGCCCCGTGAGCCCAGGCCCAGGCCCAATTCTATCTTTTCTTTAGTGTTCACACTAAAGTGACTATTGATACAGCTGGATACACACACACACACACACACACACACACACACACACACACAGTAGCATTGTCCTCCCATTGTCATTGATTTTCTCGAGCGGGCCCAGTAACGTCTCCATCGTGACACTTGGAGTTACTGTGTTTGGCATATCCAATACATCACGGGTAGCTTGTCAGGCTTTGCCGTGCGGGCGAGATACTCAGTTGCTTGCCAGGCTCTCTGAGAGGGGTGGAGGAATCGAACCTGGGTCGGCTGCGTGGGCCGCGTGAAAGGCAAACGCCCTACCCGTTGTGCTATCATTCCAGGCCCCCCCCCCCATGTTTTAGTTCTTCACTATTTCTTGTTTTTGTATGTTTCCCCTCCTATGATTATTTATTTTAATTTTTTTGGTTTATTTTATTTTCCCCCTCTTATAGTTTTGGATTTGGGGTCACTGGTGGTGATGCAGAGCTTACTTCTGGCTCTGTATTCAGGGATCACTCCTGCAGAGCTTTGGGACCACCAAAGGTGCCGTGACTGTTAGAAAAGATGAAGTCATGAAATTTACATACAAATGGTTCTACATGGAAAGTATCATGTTAGGCAAAATGAGTCAGAAAGAGAGGGATATACATAGAAAGAGTGCATTCATCTGGGGAACATAAAGTAACAAAATAGGGGACTTACACCCAATAATGGCCGAGATTAGTACCAGGAGTTTTGCTCCATGGCTTGGAGGCCAGCCACACACTCTAGGGGGAAAAGGGAGCGCAGATAGAGAAAGGATCACCAAATAAAGCGTGTTGGGAGGATCCTCCCAGGATGGGAGAAGCATGCAGAAAGTAGACTACAGACCAAACATGATTGCGACTCAATGCCTCTTTTGCAAACCACAATACCCAAAAGGAGAGAGAGAGAAAACAAAAGGGAATACCCTGCCACAGAGGCAGGGTGGGACGGGAGGGATGTGGGGTGGGAGGGATACTGGGACCCGTGGCGGTGGAAAATGGGCACTGATGGAGGGATGGGTGTTTGATCATTGTACAATTGAAACCCAAGCACAAAAATTTGTAAATCTACAACTGTACCTCATGGTGTTTCACTAACAAAAATTTTTAAAAAATGTAAATGATGGAGAATGGGCACTGGTGGAGGGATGGGTACTGGATCATTGTATAACTGAAACCCAAGCACAAAAATTTGTAAGTCTACAACTATACCTCATGGTGTTTCAGTAATAAAAATTAAAAAAAAAAAAAGGTGCCGTGAATTGAATCCGAGTCAGCTGACTAAAATGCAAATGCCCTACCTGCTATATTGCTCTGGCCCCTGTTGTTTATTTTTTTATTTGACTTTTGGGCCACACCTGGCGATGCTCAGGGGTTCCTCCTGGCTCCACACTTAGGCAGTGCTTGGAGGATCATATTAGGTGCTGGGGATCAAACCCAGTTGGCCACATGCAAAGCAAACGCCCTATCGCTCTGGCCCCGGGAGTGATCCTTGAGTGCAGAAAACAGTTTTCTAGGTTATGTTCCACTGAATGAAGATCCCCTGATAAGGGGGACTTGGGGCTCCCATTACACGGTCAGCAGCTGCAGATCCAGCACGAGGCTGAAAGAGCAGCTGTTCAGGGGTAGAAGAGTCTGGCCTGACCCTGTCAGGGCTCCGAAAGGTGCTTCCATCCATGCTCCACCAGCTACCTGGGTCCCTCAGCTGCACCCGATCTGTAGCCCGGAAGGACACAGTGTCCTTCCCCGGGACCAAAGGGCAGGGCAGGGGTGCTTGGACCAGAAGGGAGGACAGACTGTATCCCGAGCTTCCCACCCATACGCACCCAGGGCTTACTCCCTCAGGCCCCTCAGACCTATTCTCAGCCCTAAGGAGAAGTGGTTGAACAGATGCTTTGCATGCAGGACCCCCAGGTTTGAGCCCCAGCATCACATGACCCCTGAGGAGCAACCTCTAAGCACTAAACCAGGAGTCCCTGAGCCCTGCTAGCCCCCACCCCTCAAGACAGGAAGCTTTTACCCCTGCCTGGAGCTTGAAAGGCAGCTCATGGAACATGCTGGAAACCACTCGGCACATGTGCAGAGGAAGGAAGCAAGATCCAAACGGGGCCACTGAGGAAAGAAGATTGAGCGCACTGCTCCAGGGGGCCAGGGGGAAGTGCTCATGGGGAATTGGGGGTCTCTGCTGTAGGCTTCTGAGGGCAGGTGCATGCAGGAACTGGAACTGGTCACTGCAGAGCACTGCAACTGCTTGGGAGCCCGGCCCTAGCCTGCCAGTGCAGCTGCAGGAAAAGCACCTCCTGCCCTCAGCGCGGCTCCGCTGCGCCCCCTATTGGCAAAAGCTAGCAGAGCCTGGTGGTTGGGAAAGACGTTGAAGCCCCAACTTGCTGCAGTGATGAGTTGGGGAAGTCCCCCACTCCTTGCTTTCCCTCCTCCCGTGCTTTCATGACACTGTTTCTTTTTTTCTCTTCTTTTTTTTGCTTTTTGGGTCACACACGGTCATGCACAGGGGTTACTCCTGGCTTTGCACTCAGGATTACTCCTGGCGGTGCTCAGGGGACCATATGGGATGCTGGGAATCGAACCTGGGCCAGTCGCGTGCAAACGCCCTCCCCGCTGTGCTATCGCTCCAGCCCCTCGCACCACTATTTCCACTTTGCCGCCTTTCAAAGCATTTTACTGCACGCCTTAGTGTTCTAAGGGAACTCACACTCCCGTGTTCTCACTCCAGGTGGGGCACCTGTGTGTTCGCCCCTTCTCAGCTCAGGGGATTCTCTCGGCTGTTGAAGCACAGAGAACAGAGCCAGGGAGTGTCTCAAAGGGTCTATTCACAGGCTGTGCACGAGGGGAACCCCTACCCCCCACCCCACTCGATCCTCAGAACCCACAGAGGAGCCTGTGAGTAGTACCCGGTCTGAATCCCAAACAAAACAGCTCAACTAACCAGAAAACTGCTTTCCAGAGGCTTGATACAAAGCCGCCCTGTTCGCATCCACAATCTCCGCTGGCATAAATGGAAAACAACGCCTGCTCTTGCTTGGTTGCTCCAGCTGCAGTTTGGGGGACGCCTACTGCCACTGGCTTCTTTCGCCTCTGCCAGTCCCCCCATCTGTAACCTGTGGAAATGGAGGACCATTTCTTCGTCTCTGAAGTCTAAAAGCTGCGGGAGGCCGTGTCTCCAGGTGGGGGGTGCTGGGGTCCTTTCCAAGGTTCCTACTGGCTCCTTACAACTTACAGGTTGGGAGGTGGGGGACCCCCGGTGATGCTCAGATTGATTCCAGTGGTGAAGGGGGACAGTGTGGGGTCATGCCTTGCGGAGCGCACACTCACCCAATTGCCCCAACCCTTCACGTGCAGCTTTATTTTTTGTGGCTGGGCCAGTTTGGGCCACTGCAGCACTGTGTCAGTGCTCACTCACTCTAGTGAAACCAATAGGATTCTTTCTCTACCCTGTTTTTTTTTTTCTTTGCTTTTTGGGTCACAACCAGCTATACACAGGGGTTATTGCTGGTTCTGTACTCAGGAATTACTCTTGGCGGTGCTCAGGGGACCATATGGGATGCTGGGAATCAAACCTGGGTCGGCTGCATGCAAGGCAAATGCCCTACCCACTGTGCTACTGCTCCAGCCCCTACCCTTTTTATTTATTTATTTATTTTTTTTCTTTTTTGGGTCACACCCGGCTATGCACAGGGATTACTCCTGGCTCATGCACTAAGGAATTACTCCTGGTGGTGCTCGGGGGACCATATGGGATGCTGGGAATTAAACCCGGGTCGGCCGCGTGCAAGGCAAACCCCCTTATCTGCTGTGCTCCAGCCCCGCTCCTACCCTTTAAAAAAAAAAATTGGGGGGGGGGGGGCGGGTCACACCCTGCAGTTGTGACCTGGCTATTCCTGGCTGTGCTCAGGAGTGACTCCTAGTGGTGCTCAGGAAACTACATGTGATGCCAAGGATTCAAACTGGGGTCTGCAGGATGCAAGGCAAATGCCTCAGGCCCTGTGCTCTCTCTCCCTGTCTCCTCTCCTTTCCTCTTATCCCTCCCATCCCTTCCTTTCTGCTGTTGCAATGACCAAGGTCCCC